TTGAGAAAAATTTCTCTAGAAGAGGATTTTCGCATTTTCGGTTGAAGTAATTAATACTAGTAGTTAATGTTAAGAAAAGATGCCATCTATGCAAATGGGAAAAGAAGAACACTATCTGCTAGTAATTTGTTAAAAATATTGGCATTAAATAGAACAAAAATCTGTACAAGTTGGGTAAGAACCGCAGTGGGTGTGCTGAATCATATCCTCTCCTGCATCACTAACTCTCTCTCTCTATTTGGATATACAAAATAAAAACGTTGGCACATATACATAATAAATACTAATATGCTGTTACATCAAATGGCCTTCTTTAATCTTTATTAGTAATTCCTTGACCAACAAGGCTGCAGATCTCCTTTGGATAAATCTACAAAAAGCAGAACAGTAACACAAGATAAAGTTAGTTACTCTTATAGTTATTATTAACCACGAATAAGAACAAAAAGCTAATTGTTTTTCTTTAAAAAATATAAGGCAGAAAGATGTGGTTTTTGATTAAAAATGTGGGAGCAGGAGCACCAAGAGAAAAATAAATAAATAATAAATAAAATAAGCCTACGGCAATATTACCTGAAACCTAGCTCTAGGAGAACTGGACAGGGTCCAAAGGAACTAGAATTGATGTCTTGTGCCTATGGACTCTTTTCTTTTTACTTTTCACTTCACTCTTTCTTCTTGCACTATTTGGTTTTCTTGAAATGATCCTGTCTTGCATGCCGAACCTGCATCCATATCATAACATGAAAAAAGTTTTAATTTCAATATAAAAGAATTTTTCTTCACTTAGGCCACTTAAAGATAAATAGATGTAGTTATTCATAATAACTTGAACGAGTTACCTAAAAATAAGCAGGTAAGGTTAAATTATATAGACAATATTGGCAAAATTGTATATGTTATCCGTGCATATAAGTTAAATAAAAAGGAGGGGGGAAATGGAAAATCATGATTTTATTATTTTTATTTTGAAGGAATTGGTATTGTGCGTGTTTTAGCCGTGTG